AAAGCATACGTACCCTCACCCTCTCACTTGTAAAGTCATCCCTTTTATCTATAAAAAGAGATGCGCTCCCTCCAACAAAGGGGCCTCCTTTTAGTCCTTTCAAGGAAAAAACCATCATTGATCAAGTTCATCAGCTCACAACCTTAGCTCATAGTTTAGCTCCTGTCGCTCTTGGCCCTTCCGACCAGAGCCGACCGGTACCTCTTCTATACCCCATCTTTTTCCTTATCGTTTGTAACCCTACTGCAAACTTCGAGCACCTGGGCTCAGGAATAAAGTCACTAACCGACCCAAACTAGACGTAGGGCACGTTGCCTGAACCAGTATAAACCCTGTGTCATTGAGTGCTAGGCCACCTCCGATCACAACGTACGACAAAAGTTTAAATATTTACTAGTTGGTCACATTCTGCACTGACAGGGAGGGACTGAGAGAGGGAGACAAGGGAGAGAGGGAGCCGGCAGGGGAGGCGCGGCGGGGGCTAGGCGGTGCGGAGGCGGCTGCTGTGCGGCGTGGAGTGAAACAGAGGGAGAAAAGGGACTAGGCCGTGAGCCTCTATTTGTCTCTGCCGCGCCCTGACGGGTGGCACGTCACAGCCGCGCCCTGATCGGTGGCGCGGCAAGACCTACCATGTCTGCGACCAGCGGGGTGGGATGTTGCCACATACGCACTCCTACCGTGCCGCCATGCATGGCGCGGCAGAGTTGGTTCGTCATGCCCTGAAAATAGACGCGACTAAAAGTGTTACTTTTGAAGAAGAAAAATAGTGTTAGAATTAAGAATAGTTTAAAAACAGTGTTAAAAATCCAAATTACCTATTCGAGCACCTCCAGCGTCGTATTCGAACCGTGGCAGACAAAGTTCGATTGACCTTTTTACTGCTCAGCCACCACAGCGTGAACATCGATTTTTGTTCTGACACTGGCCCTGTTCGCTCGTCTGAAACTTGACTCAAACTAAAACTAAAACTAGGTGTTTCTGGTTGATGAACAGTAGCTTACGAGGGGATCAGCCGGCTGGTCACCGTACCAGCGAACGGCGCCATTGAATAAAGAATCATTTTGAGCTAGTGCTTTTTAGGTGTGAGGCCCACCATCTACATGTCTGCTGAGATCTCACCCAATATTTTATGCCGCAGCAGCCGAACCGTGTTTGGAGTTCGCTTTTGAATCTGACACCCACGGTTCGCATGCTCCAATGTGCATGGTTCAGTTTCATCTGCCCTCGGTTCGCTTCTGCCCCAACACTGGAGCTGCCCTAAAACAAGTGTAAATAAACTATGTATAAATAGTATAAATATTATTAGTAACCATTGTATATAGTGACTTTGAAATAGTGAAATTGTGGGCTACGATATGTAAAATTTGACGGTATGTATACGCACAAATCTTCTTATATGAATCCTGCCTCCAAAAGCTGACCAGCCAGCGTGCCACGTCGCGTGTTTTTCGAGGCCGTTCGATCGGACGCGCGGATGGCCCAGATCGGGCGAGCCATAGTCTTTTTGCAAACAAAACCTCGAGCTTTAGTCGAATCAACCCGCAGTTCAGGCCTCCTCTCAGATTTTTTTTTAAAAAAGACCTCGAACTCCTCCTCCAGCGCCTCGTCCTCCTCCACCGCTGCTCTCCCTCGCCTGCCTCTCACCTCCATCTCGCCCTCCCCTTCCTCTCTCTCTCCCCCCTTCCCTCCTGATGCAGCGGCGGGTGCCAGGCAACGGCGCCCCTGCGGGCGCTGCGCCGGCGCGAGTGGGGCCCAGCGGCCCTTCTACCTCTCCCCCATCCTCCTCGACGTCGCCCCGCAATGCCGCTGTCGCCCCCTCCCTACTCCGGTCCCTCCCCCGCAGCCCGGCGAGCCAGATCCGTCCGGCCAAGAGGTAGACGTAGACCTGGCCGGCGTAGCGACCTATGGCGACACGGAGGACCGATGCGGGCGACTGTCGTCGCGAGGCGGCCTCGACCCTGCAACCTGGACGGCCGAGCCCCATAGGCGCCTGTCCCGTGCGGGGATGCTGCGGGCGGCACCAGGACGGCCACGCAAGGAGGCGCCCAGGCAGCAGCGGGGCTCCTCGGAGACATGCGAGATTTCCGCCGTGCTCTGGTCAGCGCGTAACACTGCACGTCGCGGTGCTGGGGCGCCTGCTCCACACATTTCCGACGCTCCAGAGCCTCCACATAGCAGCATCTTCCTCGCTCAACGATGCCTAGCTTGTCGTGGCCTTGTACCGCACATGGAGGAGCCAACTGATGCAACCGTGGATGCCCACGCTACTTCAAAGTAGCACTGACTTTCGGCATCCACACTGTCGCTGTTGTGGAAAAGAAGCTGAGCATGGCTCCCATGAGGAAGAAGGCAAGTAGCGCCGGCGCTATGCAGCTTCCCCATGCCTCTGCTCCCTCCCACGCCGTAGAGCGCGCCACCTAATGCCCCAGTAGCTGCTTGGGAGTAGGGACACTCACATGGACGACACCCACCATGTGCTCGATCAAATGACTACAAGGTTTAGCTCTCTTTAGTGGACAATTATACTATTCATATGAAGGGCTTTTTTATCTAATAGAAAACTTTGGTCTTTGATTCATTAGAATCTACTAAAACGTACTAAGTTTCAATCCATTTCTACGTTGAAACACCTCTCATGTGCCTTTTTCTTGACTAAAAGACTTGCTGGTTGAATTTTGCAGAATGAAAAAAAAAACACTTAAGATGTGCCTGGGCAGCACCATGTCAACTAGGAGGTACACATACTGTGTGATGCACTTCTAAAATCATTTGTGTTGATCACTTCAGATTGTATTTAATGGCATGCTTTTAAATAGTACGATCTGTGTCCTCGGTGTGCTTTCAAACTCTTGCAGAGCTTCAACATCCGAGGAACTGCTTTCCTGAGAGGTTATCTGCCCTTGCCAATTGTATACAGCAGCATGATTTTAGGACTTAGGCAAAAACATCTTAGTGTTGAAAAATAATATAGCTTTTAATTAAGCTGGGGGTAGTAATATATTTTGATGCTAGGTAGTTATATATTATAGGATTAGGACTAGCTTTGTTTGGGGCAACCTCAGAAGATGCTTCATCTCCCTTTACTTGCAATCACCATCTTACAAGTTTGGCCTTATAGTACATTGCTTCCACTGCAACTCAGTATCTGAAATGATTGATAGTCCGGTTTTTCAATGCTCAAACTTGCACATTTTATCAACACCTATGCATATATCAGATAATTTCGATGATAGAACTCACAACATAAAACTCTGCAATATTATCCAATACCTCTGTTGTTGACAATTTCATTGTCATGGCCTGGATTGTGTTGAAGATTCAGATGTTCCATGGATTTCAGTTTGCTGATTCTATTTTAGTTTTTGCCACATGGATTTCATCACCCTTATCCAATATTTCTGCTTCTGTTTGATGAAATTTCCATGGCCTAATTGCTTCTAGCAGGTAGTGATGATTGCTCTATTTATCGGTTGCGTGCTCCATGCCACAACTCCATTCAAGGGTAGCGGAGTCATCAAAGGCAGTGGCCAATGATCCAGCAGAGGGGGCAGCATGGTCACGCAGCTCACATTCAGCTAGCGTGTCTCCGTCGAAACTTGGTCACATTGCACTACCTATGGCAAAGCGATGGATAAAGTGATTAGTCAATGAGGTACACTGATTCTAACAAGCGTTACGTTGTGACCGTGATTTGAACATAAACTCCATATGGAGTTCACAAACGATTGAATTACATGCGCAACTTATGTATCCTATTTATTCTTAGAGGAAGACAAATACACTCTGGTGGATGGCGTCAATACTATGCTCCAGATAGCTGTGAAGCTGTTGAACAAGAAGCCAAAGCCAGTTTTTTTTAAACGAGAAGCCAAAGCCAATTGGGCAACAGATGCTGGAAGACAACGTTATCATCGTCAGAAGGACTAAGCTGCTGTCGGCGCTGTTTCTTTTTCTGGATCCGATCCTTTTGTTGTTGTTTTGGTTGCCCCATCTGAGACATGTGTACGTTGGGTATGGCCAAAAGCGTTAGCGTTGAAGAACTGTTTAGTTGGCTTCTTTAGCTTTCTCCACCTCCTATGCTCTTCCAGATATACTCTTTAATGATGTATTTCCGTTTGAAAAAAAAACGGTTCGAAAAAAAATGTATCCTATTTATTTTTCTTCATGCAATTTTTAAGGTTTTATGTTACCAATGTATATCTCTTTGTCCATTGAAATGCCATGATTTCCATAATATCATTGTGATCGGTATACCAATGACAAGCTGATGTTGCATCAGAAACTTTTATTTTGTTGTCTATAAAATTTCATCAATGTTCTCCCACAAATATTGCAACGACAATGGTAACTAAATGGTGTTCCCAACTTCCCGCTTATTATAAAAATTGAGATATGTGTTAAAAAATATTAGTCTTGCATCATTAAATAGATATATTTATTGGAAGCAGCTACTCTGTACTGATACTCTCACGTAATCGCGCAACGCCGACTGGCCTAACATAGGCAGGCGCACGGACGCCGCGCTTGTTTCTAGTTAGGGAGAGAATGCAAAACCAAATATAGTAGTAAACTTAAAAATATTAAAAGTATCTTAAGGAGCGGTTCATTTAAACAAGCCAGTCCTAGAAAGGCATTTATATGGATGGTTATTTTTAACAAACCATCCATAAAAAATGGATTTTCAAGGTCCGTTTTAATACCGACACTCGAAAAGACACGTCTTTCAATCGATGACATAGTATTTTTATAGGTTCAAAAATCCTTGCTCAAAAGCGATTTTGATGGATCCTAAATTTCATATCTGCACTTCCTCAAATCAAGATAGTATTAGGCACGGGTCTAACGAACTTTGTCAGTGACGGGAGACAAAGGATAAGATCGATTGAGGGACAGAGTCCATACGTACACTTTCAAAATTCGGAATTTAATTAACAAGATTTCAACAACGACAACCGCAGCTTGCATTGATTACGTTCTTCTTGCTAACACTGATATAATCATCAGTCCACGACGTTGTCACTGAAGAGCTTGAACTTGCCAGCATCGAGCGCGAGCTTCCGCACGGACGCCACGGCGCCGATGACGCCGACGCCGGTGAAGACGACCATGATGGCGACGTTGGCCAGGTACACGGGCGAGCGCCTGGGCGGCGCCAGCGCCGTGTTGTACATGACGACGGGGAGGATGAAGTCGAGCGGGATGAATCCCACGGCGCCCACCACGCCGACGATGTCGCCGAAGAAGGGCAGCGCCGCGGCCACGAGCGCGCACACCGCGACGTACGCCGTCCGCAGCGCGACCCGGGGCGCCAGGTTTCGCCGCGAGAACCGGCCGTGCGCTACGTCCGCCGAGTTCTTCTCCATGATCTCGTACGCCACCTGCGAGTACACCAGCGCGATGGCGAGGAGCTGGAGGAGGACGAGGACGACGGTGAGGCCCAGCAGCCACGTCGGCGCAAGGGAGGGGCCCTCGTCCGGCATCAGGCTCTGCAGAACGTTGGACTGCACCTGGTTGCCGAACGCCCAGTAGCCGGTGATGGCCGGGAGGTAGAAGGTGAAGAACACCACCGCGTAGCACAGCACCAGGGCCTTGGTCATCTTCCCGGCGGCCGGCGGCGCCAGCGTGGCCTGGATTTCTGGCAGGATGCCGTTGCCGTAGACTGAGGCGAGGATGGAAATGGAGAGGAACGCGTTGAAGGTCTTCTCCGACTTGGACGAGCTCAGCGAGTAGTGCTTCGCTGGAGGGTCGCTCGATGCGCCTGCTCGGATGCAGGCAGCCGAGACGAGGATGGTGTAGGCGAAGCTGAGGATGAGGGAGCCGAGGTTGATGTGCCGCAGCGAGTGGAACGACGGCAGCTGCGAGAGGAAGGCCAGCACCACGGCCACGATGATGATGAAATGGTACAGCTTCAGAGGGCCGTGCGGTGCCAGGTCAGAGTACATTATCTGCATGCGTAAATATATGATGTGCAGAAAGGATACAGTGAGATGTATACCGAGACCATCATCGATTGATATATACTATATGTTGATGTCTGCCTCCCAAAACTGAAACTTGCATATTGACTGGGTTTCGATTTCAGAACATATATTAATACTAAATCGAGCTGTTTTCAGACACAGTTTATATAGCTGATTTGACACAGAACCATTCAAAGTACCAATCCTTCTAGTACATGTAAGCTGACTGAATTTCCCCTTGGATGGAATGGAACCATGGAAGCCAAAAGTCCAATCCTAGCTAGGTCACCATCAGATGTTATGTTACTAATACTGTATCACCCCAAAGCAGGCAGCTCAAAGTCAACTCACGGTAGCTTAGTCCTCGCTAAACCAGAAATATTATATTTTTTGTTTTTAAAAATGCTATTTTTCTTTATTATTCTCCAAACCATACTAGCATAAATATTAGAGAAACTAGCTAAACATGCCCGTACGTTGCACGAAATCAATACGTCTAGCATAAAATAGATATTTTTTGTTGAAATAAATGCTTGGCTCTTATCATAAAAAATATATATATTTGGCTGTGTATATCCTTTATGGATATATAGAGGCCAGATTAATGAAAATCCATTATCTAAAAAGAAAATATATATATTTATTATAGAATTATAAATTATAGATTATAGATTAGATGACGAACGGTAACAAATTAAAAACTTGGTGCAAACTCAAAGGAAGAAGGAAACATGGATGGACGGATGAAAAACAAAAGGCGTTACCTTGAGGCAGTCGGCGGCAAGCAAGATGCTCCCTGTGGTGACGCCGGTGTTGATGGCGGTCTGCACGCTCACCACCACGTAGAACACCCATCCCGATCCTTAGTTGAAGAAACAGATCGATTAACCAACCAATCAAATTATCACTCACACCACCGGCCGTCATGAACAACCATCTTATTAATTAGCTTGCTTGGTCAACTGATGGCCGCCAGTATCTGCGGAGGCAGAGCGTGCGTGCGTACCGAGGACGGCGGCGGCGAGCTCGCGGAAGCGGATGTGGCGGCGGCCGGCGGCCTCGCAGTGGTCGAGCACCCTGGACACGAGGTAGTAGGCGTAGAAGGTGACGGCGAAGACGGCGGTGAGCGCGGCGAGGCCGAGCCCCCAGCCCATGCCCCGGAGCGCGTACGGCAGCGTGAGCACCGTCGGCCCCACGATGGCCGTCGTCAGGTGGAACCCGGCGTGCCACCACGTCCCTGCGAAATCGGCGGCGGCGACGTGAGTGAGATGGATGGATCGAGGATGCGCAGGCAGGCATGGCAAGCGGCGCGCACCGTACCTTTGGACTCGAGAACGAAGGCGGCGCCGGCGTCGGGAGCGGGCGTTGACTTGGCGGCCTGGTGCTGGGCGCCGGTGCCGGCGCCCGCGCCCACGGCCTCGACGTCGAATACCGCGGTAGCCGCGTGCCCCGTCGCGGGCGACAGCAGGAACGGCGTGCCCCCGGTGCTCGCCATGGCTTTGCCTATGCTTAGCCGCACCGCCGTGCTTGCAGGATCGACCGACTGACTCACCGTCGCAGCTGGGCCGGGTTATTCACCGTCGCTTCTTTCATCAATAATAAAGACAATAATCCGGATCGATGGATGGACTTCCTGGATTGCTGGAGAAGATGGTGACGAACAGCTGCTGGGTCGGCGCTCGGACAGAGCGTGGGCGTGGCGCACGGGCCGGCGAACCGGGAGAGATGGATGCGTCCACGTCTGCGCTTGCAGTTGGTGTCAGTTACGGATTACAGTTCCATTACAGCTAGCTAGGAGCCTGGCCTAGGAGAGGAGGGAGGCCGTCCGGGCGGGCGAGGCGTTGACCTCCAGAGGCAGTGCGTCACTGCGTGATTTCCAGAGGCAGTGCGGCACCACATGATAGATAAAATTAAATTAGTTGTGGCTTGAGATGGGGCTTGCTGCACTATTGAAGCGATTTGCAAATGAATTAGTTGTGCCCAGAAGCAGGAAGCGCATGGGTTCTCAGACCCAATGTCGAGCCAAACCAAACCAAACCGCCTTGGCAAAACTGCATTCAAAGAACAAATGAGCCTCATTTCAATCAAGCCACAACGCGAGCATGTTTCCTCAATGGTAGGAATAATAATTCTATGGATCCGGCTTCCAGTGCCTAGTGCAAGCCTGAGAAGTCGCCAAGCAAAAGTTTTGACTCGAGGTTGCATGGTTTTGTCAGCCCAGACCTGCCTCAGGATTTGCACAACCTGAGTAGGGATGTTTGTGGGAAGTGAAGCATCCGCCTCTTCCATTGCTAGCATTTTGTAAGCACTCTTGGAAGGGCAAAATCCATCTGAGTTCAGCTTCCAGCAAAGAATGTCGGGTCCATCACCAACGATCACAGGAACCTGCAAAAGGACTTCCATAGTAAGTTGGCCATCACCAACGATCACAGGAAAACAATGCAAATGGATTTCCATGAAGATTTAATGGCCAAACAGACTTACAATTTTTCAAGATATTAGTCCCCCAAACTTTTTGATCCGGTCCTTAACAGACTTACAATTTTTCGAGTCCACCCTAGTTAGGCCACCATAATACCATAAATCACAAACCGTAAGTTGTTTGTTCGAGATTTAAGCGATCATAGATTTCTATCTATATAGAACACCATGGTTGATTCCAAATAAAAGTATTTCCCTGAACAAGTTGAATGGTGACATATTGTTCAAGATAGTGCCTAATGCTAAGAATGGAGGCCCAAAAGAAATTAAAGTAGAGATATGTTGGGCCAAGCCCAATTAATATTTCACCCGGCCATCCGTTTTGGTCCCTGTTTTTTCACGCGCGTTTTGTTGCAACTTGTTTTTCTTTTCAATCTTTTATTATTTTGTTTTCTCTTGCGCCCGTTTCTCTTTTCCGTCCGTTAGTTTTTGGGCGCGTTATTTTTTTTTCATTTCCCTCTGATTTTCCCGTTCATTCCGCCCACCTTAAATCACGGTGAAATCAAGTTTTTTTTTCGTATCCTATTTTTTTTCTTCTTTATAATTATTTTTTCATGTTTTTTCTTTTCAGTTTTCCCCTTCCGTGTGTTCTGTATTTGGCCTCGTTTTTTTCTAGAGGAGCAAATCGGATTATCCTAGCTTTGGGTTTGGGTACCAAAATTTCACCATTGAGCTGATGTTTTGTTTCTATTTTTTATGCATAGATTGTCTATAATTTAAACGTTAGCCAATGGTTCAACCTACCTACCAATAACCAAATAAATAAAATTGCTAAGTGATAAATAAATCTGTTTTTTACCTATACATGTGTTATGTCATTTTCACCGAGAATTGTAATGTCGAGAATAGGGAGAGTTAATCGCTTGGTACAACGTGAGTTGGGAGAGAGGCACATCAGAACTAAAGGAGCGTGCTTGAGTTCTATTTTGTCCATGCCCACATGCCTCTCATGTCCTGTATGTGATCCGCACTCATAATCTATTCCTATACGAGTTAGAATAACACGTATCCAGCGAAGATGCAGAGTCGGATTTTCCAAGACGCATCTAGCAATGGATCCAGAGTCTGATTCATAGGCTTGTCCAGCAATGGTACAAAATCCGATTCTAAGACGTATTGGAATAGATCACAACGGACAGATTTGATTGTAAAAATCAAAGAAAGAAGCTCGCAGCGTTGACTCATTAAAACGCTACAAAGTTCTCAATGAAACCAAAAACAGACAAGAACACAATGTTGACTCATTAAAAACGCCACAAAATTCTCAATCAAACCAAAAACAGACAAGAACACAACATTGGCTCGTTAAAAATGCCACAAAATTATCAAACCAAAGACAGACAAGAACACAACATTCACTCATACACTAAATTCTCTCATGTTCCTTCTTCTCTGTCTGATATTCACACTTGCAAGGAACAGAGTAGCAAGTCACACAAAGAATTTTTCTATCTAATGAAATAAGAATTTCTGCAGTTGCTAGTACAGAGTAGCAAGACATTCACACTTGGTAATCTCAAGACAAAAAGGAACAACGCATTGTTCTTCACTCGGTCAGATCACAAAACTGGAGCTACCCTTCTTTGGGTTCCTGACTCCGGCACACCTGAAGGTGGCGAAGTGTGATTACGGCCCTACTACATGACCTGTTTTCTGGTGACATGATACTCAGCACTCTAAAATTTGGGTAATATGCAGCCACCAGAGCAAAGCAGCTTGCTAATTTCGAGGCAGGCTATCTGAGCTGCTTAGAGCCTTCACCAGATAGCAAAGGATTTGCTGCTTGATGAGCACCATAAAACGTTTGGATTCAGAACAACTCCATTATCGCTAAGCATGTTAGCAAGCCGAGCAGGTTGTATACGATCCTTTTTGTTCCACACAATGAAATTCCACAACCTCTCGAATGCTAGAGAACCACAGATTTTGGATATGGCAAAACCAACGTCCACTGGTGTTGACGAAATACCATCGGCAGTTTACCGAGTCTACCGAGGGTATACCCACGATGGTAGATTGTGTGGTAGAGGTGCACATAATAAGAACTAGATGGCAACAGAGACACAAGACACAAGATTTATATAGGTTCAGGCCGTCAAAATGACGTAAAACCCTACGTCCTTTGCTTTATTGGTTTGTATTGATCAGAGAACCCTAGGCTAAGCCCGGATTTGTATCTGGATCTAGATGTCGACTAGGGGACCCTTGCCTCTCCTTATATAGTTTAGAGGGATAGAGTTATAAGGAAAATATCTTAGTCGGCTATATGATAGGTATTCTATTTGAATTATAACATCTATAAGAGTTCCAGTAAATCAAATCTTCATTGATCTTGTGAACTAGACCATCCCTGATGGTGCGACCCATATCTTGCACCGTGGGTACCCAAGGATCGTACCCCACAACTGGACCTAAGCGTGTGGCCTCCATGCGCGTCACGTCATAGGAGACGACATTGTCGTTTAATGACCACCGCTGCCAAAGCAAACCTGACTGACACAACTAGTTGGCAACAATTAGAGAATAGTTAAAAATTCTAGCCTCTCTGTCAAAGTTGTTGTTCCATACCTAGACTTATGTAACATTACTGTCATCCCAAGGGAGTGTGGATGCCTCAGCAACCCCATAGATAGTATTTCTGAACTGAGATCATTGTGGCCGCAGGTGGATTGCTCAGAATCATACTCTTCTAACATGTCATAGCAAGATACACATCAGAGCTGGCTCCATGGGCTTCTCCTATTCGGTCAACTCCTAGCCCATTTGCCATTGATTGGAAATTGTTGGGACTTAGCACAAGGGTCACGAACAGGGCAGGGAAAAAATCGAGCAACTGGCGAGATAGCTCTTGATAACAATTGTTGCAGTACTCAACCACAATGCACAAGGGGATACTCAGCAGGAGAATTTTGGAAAAGAAACGACAAGAATAAATGCGAGGAAGAACTGGTAGGGTGGTTTCAGGTTTCTTTCAGAATGTAGTTCTTCCATGTTTCATTCAGTACAAGCCTTGGGGATTTTATAAACCATCACCCAATCGGTAGCTTGGGCTCGCAGGCCCATACTGAGCAATCCACCTTAGCTAAATGGGCTAGTTCCTCATCCATGATTTAACTCAGTGCTTTAATTAGAGTGCTATCTTCACCTTCGAGGAATGGCCACTTCACCCGAGGGGCTCACCAACAACTTCGGTTGGACATCTACTTCTGCTACTATGACTACTATGACTACGTTGACTACACCAAGTATGACTAAACATTTGATCACGAGTGTCATCCAAGAGGGGCTAGGGGTGCATACTAGAGGAATGGCCACTCTGGAGGGCACAATCTTTTACACAGCGCGCGTGAGAGAACATTTGGAGGCTTCATGGCAACCTTCATCTACGACTACATCGACTATATGTAATGACTACGCCTATTCCCAAAGAGAGGATGTGTCTTCAAGCGAAGAGCTGCGCGCTGAGAAGGTCGCAAAGATGAAGATCTGCACATTGAGCGAAACCTGTAGGCCTAGTCAGGAAAAGAGGGCAGGGGAGCTAAAGCCCAAAGATGAAGATATTGGGAAAATCAACGTCAAGGCACTTGGAGTTAGAAGCTTTGTGAGTTAGTATATGTATAGACTAGAGTTTTAGAATGGAGTTTTTAGTGAAGCGTGCACGTGCAGGTTGTGAAGGGCAATCCTTGCGACTAGGGTTCGAGTTGTATTTATGCCTCTTCTAGTATGAGCATCTACTAGGTCATGTAGTATCGTCCATGAGTAATAACTAAGGAGCTACTGTTGAGAGAGCCCATAAAGTATATGGGTCAAGCCTCCACTTAGAAGATGCCCAAATAGGTTCTAGTATAGTGTTGTTGGGGGAGCCTATGAGGTGTATGGGCCAAGCGTCCCCGGGTAGAGGCTCAAATAGGTGATAGTGTAGTGTCATGTAAAATCCAACCCAAGCAAATGGCTACTTGTAAATAACCATTGTCTATATAAGTGCCCAAGGGCATGAGGACAAGCGGGCTCTCT